AAAGGGTCTAGGCCCGAAACGTCAGCCTCTCTGCTCCTATGATGCTGCTTGGCCTGCTGTGTTCATCCAGCCCTGCACCTTGTTGTATCAGTTGATGTACAGCTTTATGTTGTACTAACACGTCTACGAAGAAATGAAATGACATTTCAACAAGTTACACCTGGCAAAGAGATATCCTTATCTAATCACTTTGGATCGCCTTGAAAAGAAGTCCCTGCATTCTCTTAACAGTCTTTGTGAATTTAATCTTTCATTCAATTACATATCAAAATCAATCACTGCACAAATTTCAATTTGTTTTAAGCAACAATAAACAGGTGGATTAAAAATATCTACTGGACTAGTAAGAATGGTAAACCTCATTAATCTCCCTAATGCTTCAATTCTGAGACTCCTTATTAAACCAACAAGATGTTTGCCAATGCCCAATACTCTGCTTTTTAACATTTCTCCCTGTAAATATTCACATTTGAATTGCGCGTGTGACATCACTCAGTGTACAATGGCGGAACAAAAAATTATTCATTATCCTTTATAGAGGTTTAACAAGAACTGTAAACTTCTGTGGAAAAGTAGGTCTAATTCTCTGAGTTTGGTAACAACGTTCAAATAAAAGTAACAAAATGCAGTGCGTCATACAATATTTAAGTTTGGCAATTTGGAAGTATACAATGTAAGGATCAGCAATTGCCATTACAGTATGGTCCCAACCCACAGTAATGACTGCAGACCATCCTCAAAAAGGTGAAATCTCCTACACTTGGAAGGCTCAGGTATAACTGTCAAGCCTGTGTGAAGTGGCACTCCTTTTTATTTATTGCAGAAACACTAAAAAGCCATGCAATGTTCCCAAGGAGGCAATATTATTACAACGGTAAAGCAGCTCAAAGGTTTCTCTAAAACTAGAATTTTTTTTTACACTGAAACATTAAAAGGCAAAATCTGAACAGACTATCTTTTGTAAGTGAGGGGGCCTTTTAAGAAAAATGCTGCTAGATTGTTGAATCCTCTTTCAGAACTTGTAGCAATACATTATTACTTACGTCTGATGGCTAGCTGGTCTTCTGGTAACATTACACACACGGTACTTTCTCCGCATAGGTCCACAATGAGTTACTTCAACCTTCAATCCTGTGAGAAGTTTGTCAGGAGAAGGCAAAAAAGGCAACTGTTACAAACCAATTTAACTGTTAACTCAATAATGTGAAATAGATTGATTTCTAATGTCCCCGGCTTCAAAAGAATTTCAGTGAATGAAAATATGTATAATATTTTTCTTGTTCACTCCTGTTTCACTCCCCTGCCTATTAAACACTTCCTTTAGGAATTGGGAAGAGAGCAAGATCCAAGCCAGGCTCTTCTCACAACTTGCTCACAATCCATAAATTGATTAACATGGTAAAATCAAATCAGTTGGAACACCATGGTCCTTAGATGAATGTGAACTATTCAAGAAAGGTGAATATAGAACTTTCTTAATATTGTAAATTTCCTAAAATTGCAAATTTCATGAATATGGCAGCATTAAACAGAATATAAAAGAGCATGTTTATATTTGTTTTAAACACATGTATTTTGTGCATTCTGCATCTCCGGAAAAATCAAACATGTTGTATGTTATATCATACTTTAACTTTTGATAAACTTGACAGTGCAATCTCCACTGCAACTGCTCCAGTGATGCAGATTACAATAACTATAAATGTGTGCAGTTGTGTGTTAAGGTGGTAGGACAACAGCATTAGCATATCCAAATTAATTTAATGAACAGACTGATGCCAACTTGCATTACATTTGATGAAACTCCTTTTGAGCACAAGGGTTTTAAAAAAACTAAATGTCATGGATTTTCATAAGATGGTCAATGTAATGATAAACTGGAGGCTTATGGCAAAGCTTCAGACATAATACAAGAGGAACTGCAAGAAAAAGACAGAATGTTGGCTAACAGACAAAAATCCAAAACATTGGGATTAATAGGTACTGCATGAATGGGTGAAGTGGTGCAAGTAGTATACTCCAGGTTTGGTGCTTAGTCCCCTTTAGCCGTCTTTTAAAAGGAATACTTTATTTAAATAAATATTCATATCCATTCACAAGACCTGGAACTTGTTGGCTAGCCCAGGATTTAATACCCATCCTTAGTTACCCCTGTGAAGGTGATGAATGCCATCTTCTTGAATCGCTGCTATCTGTGGGGGATACATCCACCCGCAGTGCTGTTAGGTTACAGTAATGTGACACAGTGACAGTGATGGAATGGCAATACAATTCTAAATCAGGATGGTTTGTGGCTTCAGAAAAGAACTTGCAGATGGTGGTGCTCTTACGTATTTGCGGTCTTTATCCTTTAAGGTTGCCAAGTTCGCAGGTTTGTAAAGTGCTGTTGACGAAATCTTAGTGAAGCAGTACATCTTCTAGGTAGTACACATCGCCCCATCATTAGAGAGAGTAAATGTTCATGATGGTAGATATGGTGCCAATTAAGTGTTACTTTGTCCTGGATAGTATCAGGCTCGAGTCTGGTTGGAGTTGCACTCATCCAGACAAATAGGGAATATTCTATCACATTCCATCTTATAGATAGTTAACGGTCTTTAGATGACAAGAGAAATTGAGAGCTTAATCAAAACGAAAAAGGAGGCATATGTAATGTTTAAGAAACTAAAGAAAGATAACGCCCTTGAAGAATACAAAGATAACAGGAAAGAACTCAAACAAGGAATTAAGAGCGCTAAAAGGGGCCATGAAGTGTCATTGGCAAGCAGGATTAAGGAAAATCCCATGGTGTTTATACATATACAAAGAGCAAGAAGGTAGCTAAGTAAAAGGTAGGCCTACTCAAGGACAGAGGAGGGAATTTATGCATGGAGCCAAAGGAAAAGGGTGATGTCTTTAACAAATACTTTGCATCAGTATTCACATGGAGGATGGTGAGTCTCTAGGGGGATGTGTTGAAATCTAAGGCATGTCAATCTTAAAAAAGGAGGTGGTGTTGAGTGTTTTGAAAAACATTAAGGTAGACAAGTCACCTGGAGCTGATGGGATTTATCCCAGAATGCTGAGGGAGGCAGATGAGGAAATTGCTGGGGCCTTGTATGAAATCATTGTGTCCTCTTCATTCCCAGAGGGCTAGAGAATAGCCAACATTGTTCTTTTATTTAGGAAAGGCAATAGGGATAATCTGGGAAATTACAGGCTAGTGGGTACAGAAATTACTGGAAAAGATTCTTAACAGATAGGATTTACTCACATTTGGAAAAATACTGATTTATTAGCAAAAGGCAGCATGGCTTTGTGCAGGGAAGGTCATGTCTCACAAACTTGACTGAGATTTTTGAGGAAGTGACAAAGATGGTTGATGAGGACAACGTGGTAGATGTTGTCTATATAGATTTTGGCAAGGCCTTTAAAAAGGTCCCTCACGGTGGGCTGACATCACATGGGATCTGCAATGAGCTGTTAAGATGCACACAGCACTAGCTTAGAGAAGACACAGTAGTGGTGGAAGGGTGTTTTCCAGATCAGAGATGTGTGACCAGTGGTATATAAATGATTTTGAGGAGAAAGTAGGCGGCCTAATTAGTAAGTTTGTGGATGACACAAAGATTGGGGGAACTGCAGATAGTAATGAGGAATGTCAGAGGATACAGCAGGATACAGATAGGCTGGAGACTTGGGCAGAGAAATGGCAGATGAAGTTTAATTCAGACAAATGAGCAGTATGCATTTTGGAAGATCAAATGCAAGAGGGAAGTATATATTAACAGAACGCTTAGTAACACGAACATACAGGCTTTTAGGGATACAAGTTCACAGTTCCCTGAAAACGGCAACACAAGTAGACAGGGTGGGCAAGAAAGCATATGGCATGTTTGCCTTCTTTGGTGAGGGCATAGAGTATAAAAATCAGCAAGTCATGTTGCAGCTGTATCAAACTTTAGTTTGGCCAAGTATGGAATATTGTCTATAAAAACCAAAAGAACTGTAGATGCTGTAAATCAGGAACAAAAACAGAATTTGCTGGAAAAGCTCAGCAGGTGTGGCAGCATCTGTGGAGAACAAAATCAGAGTTAACGTTTCAGGTCCAGTGACCCTTCCTCAGAACTGTCTACAATACTGTCTACAGTTTTGGTCGCCACACTACCAGAAGGATATGGAAGCTTGGAGAGTTTACCAGAAATGGTTCACCAGGATGTTGCCTGGCTTGGAGGGTATTAGCTAAGAGAAGAGATTGGACAACAGTTTTTTTTCCTCTTCTGTTTCTTGTTTGTGTTCTGGAGGAGGGTCACTGGATCTGAAATGTTAACTTTGCTTTCTTTCCACAGACACTGTCAGTCCTGCTCTGTCTTTCCAAGGTTTCTGTTTTTGTTTATGGTTTGTTTTCATGTGAACAAAAGATGAGGGGTGACCTAAAATATGGAGGAACTCCTGCACTAATGCCCTGGGACTGAGATGATTAACTCCAAACAATAACTGTACTGAGGTCAAAAGCTGAGTGGCCAGAATGGAACTCTAATTGAGCACCAGTGAGGAGATTATTATGGAGGAAGTGGCACTGGATAGCCTCTTCCATCACTTTACAAATGGGAAATAGACTGATGGGGTGGGAATCAGACAGGTTAGAACTGGTTTTTGTTGAAGGACAAATCTTAGCAATTTTCCATACTGACAGTCAAACCATTGCAGCGGTACTGAAACAGATTAGCTGGGGCTGTGAAAAGTTTTGGAGCACAAATCTTCAGCAGTATTGCCAGAATGTTGTTAGGCTCTAAAGATTCATTTTTATTTTCACGTTTTTTAATGTTGTAGACTGAAGTGAGAAGAAAAAAAATGATTTTAAAACCAGGGGTTGTGAGGATCGCTACAGGGTTTGAAAGTAATTTGATATTCATTGTGAACAATGTTTGCACAACTGTGAATTATAGTAGTAGTTGCAGATGAACTGGAGTTGAAGGGTCATGCACAAATGGTGCCTTGGTTGGCAACGAGTAGCAGATCAGTTTGTAGATTAGTGACCAATTACCAATAATGATGGCCTTCTATCCTCTAACAACTATGTGATTGGTTCTCAGGTAGTTGAATGGTTTGTAGACATGAACAAAGACACAGAGAAACTATTGGACCATCACTAGCTCAGGAGTACTCTGTTTTCTGCAGTAAAAGTCACTTTAAGCCTGAAGAAAACCAGTTTATCTTGCCTCCAGAAGTAGCTGCAAGCTCTAACTTCTAACTAGTAAGTCATGGATTTTTTTATAAGTGAATCAGCCACAATGTGGTGCTTACAAACCAGTGCAGGCATTTAGAGAAGATGACGACAGGCAGCATCTGGACTAGCATAAGAATCATCTCAGCAACCACTGTGAACAGGAACTACTGAACTACTCTCCCAGTTCTCCCCCTCTGTCCATAATCTATGTTTTTCACAGTGTGTGAGAGCGCGCGAGGGGGTGCGTGAGACAGAGGGGGCGTGCGAGACAGAGGCGGTACGAGGCAGAGCACGCGAGAGAGATAGATACAGCGTGCCTGTAAGCGATCGAGAGTGTGTGCCTGTGTGCGCAAGCGATTGAGAGTGTGTGCGTGCTTGCAAGAGAGAGTGAGTGTACATGCACTTGCAAGAGACAGAGTTTCTGTGTGTGTTTGTGATTTTGGTGGAGGGGGAGTGGAGGAGAGGTAGAACTTGTGAGGGAATTAGAATTTTAAATTAGTAGAATTATATGCTAACGGTTCAAAATTTATTTACCTGTAGCTAGAGTTTAATTACTTGTAATAAACTGTCTTTTCTCATTAAGTATAAAAACTTGGTCTGATGTTTATGTCAACTAGAAGACAAGTAAATTGGGAAATTTTGTGTTTTGTTTTAAGGAAGCCTCATCTTTTACACGAAAATGGCCTCCCCATTATCAATAGAGAGTTGTCTGTAGCCTCCTGTTAGTTGTTTAATTATCCATTCCCATTCACATACAAGGAGCATGATGTTAAAACGATACAAAAGATGGAGGTGGATGCTCCGCAAACAATTAGGTGGATAGCAGATTAGCTGGCTAGACAAATTAAATTCAATGCTGAGAAATGTGTGATAAGATTTCTTGGGTGTAAGTAAACATTGGGAGCATAAACACTCAAGACAATAAAGAATGTGGAGAAACAGTTACTCGAGGAGTGAAATATAAATGCCTAAAAGATCCACTGCAATTCAACTAACAAAAATGCATTTTGGGTGTTACAAATAAGAGCAAGAAGGTAACTTTAAAGGTTTAGGAGGCAATGTTTTGGGTGAAACTTAAAACATTAAGAATATTTCGACTGATTTTGAAAATTATGATGGTTTTTGATGGGACAAATAAGGCTATTTCTATTTTCCAAGCAGTGAGGAAAGGTCATCAGTTTACATTGTTTGGTACAAGAAGGGTTAGAAGAGATAGACAGTTGTTACATCATGAAGTGTGCTACATGGACTGGTGAGACAGTGATGATCTTCCAAAAGAAATATGAATAAAGATTGGAAAGGGGGTGACACTAGGTTATGAGGCACAGCAGACAGCAAGATTATTTTTTTTGATTATTCTGACAAGTAGCCACCACATATACGACGTGCTGAACTGCTCCCTATGAGAAGTGACAGAGGATGGAGATGAGACATATGAAATGATATGCAAGAGGTCAGATATGTAGGCGAAGAGTAATGTGTGTAGGAAAAAATCATACTCGGATTACCGTCAAACAACCTAGAAAGCCACTAAGCTATAAAAGAATAAAAACGCAACCTGATGGATTGTTCATTTAGGATTTACATAATCTGCACCACTGTTCCTGTCATATTCGCCTCACCTACATCTGCTGACGGGGTCAGTGTTGGGAGGTCTTCATATATCCCAAGAATGAATAATAATTTTAAAAACCCTCATCATGGCTTGATGGAGTTAGCTTGACATAAGGTGCAACATCAGTGGTCTGCAATTGTCACTGAAATTGGCGACCAGTGGATGGCGCTGTTGGTGCAGCCGTTTCATTTTTGTGCAAATAGATTACTGCAGTAAATTTAATGAATGTGGAAGAATTTTAAATCCGAAAATATGTCTTAAGAAATCAGACAGTCAAAATTGAGAGATTATTCAAGCCTCTCTATATGACAAGATTATCCTTCAAGCAAATGTATACCAAATTCAAAACTGAAAGTTACTTCCACTTATTATTGGTATCCTAAACTTGTCAACAGCACTACTTCATTAAGAAGTACATCCATTAGTTAGGTTTGAGAAAGGTGTCAACATAAAATTGTAAAGGATTAAGAAACTGAATAAACCTGAGAAACCTACGGTTAATTACAAATTCAAATTCAGTCATGGAAATTATTATAGCTAATGGGATTTCAAAATCACCCACGCTCTCACTAAATTAATCAGTCAACAAAATGTTTGCAACTTACCTTTTATCTCTTTGGTGAATTTGACTCTGTGGGAATCAGTCAAAGGTCGTGGCTGTTCATCAATATTATGAATGTCTAGAACTTCACACATGAACTGAATTACAGGCTGTGCTTTATAAAAAGCAGTGGCAGAAACTAGAAAGAAGAAAAATAACCATTGTAGTTAAAGGAATACCAATACAAGGGAATGACCAGGATTCGCTTTGTAAAATTTTTAGGATACACACAAAAAATGCTGAAGATTCACTGTCACAACTTGAATCTACTTTTTATTTCTTTAATTGGATGTGTAAGGGGATGAATAGATGACATGAAGCTTGCAAGTCTAACGAACAGTGAGAAGATAGTAAGACTCTTTAAGAGGACACAAACATGGTGAAACCATGAACACAGGACCAATTCAATGCAGAAAAATGAAAAGTAGGAAGAATGAGGAGAGATGTAAATGGTAAAGGCAAATGATATAATTTTTAGGTGATGCAAGAACAGAGACACCAGGTATGTTTGTAATGCACAAAACTTTGAAGGTGGAAAGAAGGTTAACAAAGGCGTTAATAAAACACACAGAATCTTGGGTTTTGTATATAGAGGCAGCAAGGACAAAACATCCTAGAATTTATTCTAAATTTAAAGTAAACTGCTTTTTCCTCCAGCTGAAGTAGTGTGTCCAGTTCTGGGCTTCACATCTTGAGAAGAACATGAAAACTTTGGAGAAGGCATGGAAGAAAAGAACATTATGGGAATGGTTCCAGGGTTGAGGGATTATTGATATGTGAACTGACTGAAAAACTAAGTTATCATCTGAAAGCAGAGCAGGCAAAGGGAAGATATGATGGAGGTGTTTAGCAGCGAAGAATTTAAATAAAATAAGTAAAAGAGAAACAGTTTCCAAAGGTTGATGGATTAATAATAACTACAAGATGACTGGTAAAAAAAAAAATAGAAACAACATTACCCGAGTTATTGCTTATGCTAAGTTGGAATTTGGAACAAACTACCTGACTGAATGGCGGATACATATTTGATATAGCTTTTAAGGGGAAACCAACTAAATAATGGGAGAAAAATTGCACGATAGAAGGAAAGAATGAATGAGTGGGGCTAACAGGATTATTCTTTGAAAGAGCTTGTGGAAACTCGATGACTTGAGATTTCTTTTGTGCCATTTTCCTCTAATTCAATAAATTAATTCCACTCCTCTCAATTCTTCCCAAATAAACTTCTACAAAATTTTAACGTGTTAATGGACTCTGACAGGTTAGCTGTGTTTTCTTCACATTCTCCAGTCACATAAAACTCCCAAGGTGGAAACACAGATGTGTCATGAGGATATTATCAAAATAGAATCAAGAACCAAGTTACACAAATCCGAATTTTTTTCATGAAAGTGGAAAAATGGAAGTCATATTTTAGGAATGACACCTAGGACCTTGCCTTCAAGTTGGGTGAGTTGCACCTGCACAAGTCTCTTCTGATATGCTATACTACAGCTGTGGTTAATGCTTTGGATACTAGTACATGCATTTCAAATCATTTATATTGGAAGCCATGCAGCTCCATACCAGACAAATCTAGGCATTGGATCTTTTTCTATATAATAATGCAACATTTTTCTTCTAATATGTGTAGGCTAAAGACACTGATGCATTACATTATATATCACAGCCATTCCTAAGTTTCATTCCTGATCAATGTTGATTAGCTAAATTCAATAACAGCAGCATTTGATATTGCTAGTGACCCCTGTAGGAAGAAAGGGAAAAGTTAGCCATGGTCTTTGTACTTGATTACTTGTTAGTCACTTCTACTTTAAAAACATATGCATAAATGTCAGGTGTGCTTGGAATTGGAACAAGCTGTGACAACCTCCAGCTAAAAAATCTGATGACTATACCACAAAAGCACAGGCTGCCATTGTCTATGCAATAGCCGTGTTGCAATAAAAATGTCCCCACGTCATAGCACAAGGGCCTTATCAGACAAAATTTAGGACCAGCAGCTTAGTCAAGAGAGATGAATTTTAAGTAGGAGAGGGGTATAGAGAGGCTGAGAGATATAGGGAGTTAACTTCAGAGCTTCAGGCTAGGCAGATCAATGAAAACAGGGGATTTCAAATGGCTGAATAACTGCACACTCTGAAAGCTTGTGTTACTTCAATAAAACCTGTTAGACTATAACCTGGTGTTATGTGACTTCTGATTTTGTTCACCCCAGTCCAACACCAGCACCTTAACATCATTAAGAAGATCTGATAGTCAAGCTATCCTTCAATTCTCTTTTCCTTACTCTGCAATATGCAACTTTTTCTCCCTTCCCAACTGAAAGCAAGAATTCAGTTCAGGACATAACAGAATACAGCATTTCTGTATCTCTTAATTCCACACTTAAGTTATCACAGATTTGTCTATGATCATCATTACAGCTGCTAATGATTGCTTATAAAGATTCAAAATTGAGAATTATTGAGCAAGTGAATATGAATTGCTTGGGAATACATTTTGAATTTGGGCTATGTGGGGTGTCCTACTCTGCACAGAAAGAACTAATCAGTTCAACAGAATTACATATTAGCAATGAAAAGATAAATAATGTTCCTAGGCAGAACCAGTAATCCTTGTTTAGCTCCTCAGAACCAAACTAGCATGACATTATCATTAATGCCAAAGGGAGGTCTGGCTCACTGTCATTCTCTATATTCTGTCATATCTAATTAATAATTTATTCTAAGAAAAAAATGACAGTTACATAATAAAACTTGCCCAATGGTAAATTAGTGCTAACTTAGATCATTTAAAAAAAATAATTAACCTCCAGGTTTTGCATGAAAGGAACCAAGACCAAGTATGACTAACAGATGGATCACAGTTGGAGGGCAGAGAATAATCGGACCAGACAACATAAACAGAATTCAAGCCCCATTTAAAGTCATACACTTCATCCCCTTTATTTACCACCATGAATTCCTATGTCCACATTTCTAACAGCAACTACCTATGTAAATTCACTATTCTGTAATTAAGCAGCAGAACTTACAGTGGATGTGAGGCAAGGGGATTGGGGAGGATAGGGTAATTATAATGTGATAGAATTATATGGGCATGTTCCATTAAAAATATTGATATACAGATTTATATTGAAAGATTATAAGTGACATCTTTTTGTAACAAAGAAGCGTGCAAATAAAAGGACAATAATTTTACTTTGTGGATATATTAATGAGGATGACCCTGAGAATGGAAAGTTTAATTGCGACATTTCATGTTGAATTAATAAAATTTACTCACTCACGTACAAGGGTAATGTTATACATCGTCAATTTGACAAAAGAGAGGTTTGCTTAGTTTTCCTTAATACTTGTACTAATTATACAAAATTAGGAGGGTGAAAAGGAGGTGGTGCAGTGGTTAGCACTACCACCTCTCAGTGCCAGGGACCTGGGTTTGATTCCAGCTTTGGGTGACTATCCATATGGAATTTGCACATTATCCCTGTGTCTGCTGTGGGTTTCCATTGGGTGTTCCAGTCCAAACATGTGCACATTAGGTGGATTAGCCACAGCTAATGTGAGGTTATGGGGGCAGGGTGAATGAGATGCTTTTCGGAGGATTGGTGCAGACTCAATGAGCCAAGTGCCTGTACCTGCACTGTAGGGATTCTTGCGATAAAAGAATGCAAGTGCATTAGGCAAGAAGGAATGCAAGAGAGAGTGTATGAGAGCGGTGGGGGGGGGAAGAGGAAGGAAGAGAGGGGGAGAAAAAGAGAAAGTGAGAGAGACCATATGCCTAGGCAACAACCTTCTCACTCACCCCTAACTGACCACCATAATACAATGGTGGGTGGGCACCAAATTTGGAAGCTCATCTGCCATATTTAAATATGTAATTATTTTGGCAATCTGCCATATCTGATGAATTACTTTTTCTAAAATAAGAAGACTTGACGGCTACAGAAGGGGCATTCATAACATGGACAAGCAGGTGGATCATCAACCTGTGAATCCTTTCAGTACATCTATGGCAGATGACAAGAACAGGAGTGCCTTCCGGTCAGCCATGCCTGATACATAATATATCAAAGGCCCTCAAAGTATAGCCTCTGGTGTGAAGAACACATGCTCAAAAGAAAAACAGAAATTGCTGGAAAAACTCAGCAGGTCTGGCAGCATCTGTGGAAAGAAAACAGAATTAATGTTTTGGGTCCTTTGACTCTTCTTCAGATACTACAACATATAGAAAGGCAAGGGAAAAGGACTGTTTTAAAAGACAAAGGATTGTAGAAGGATAACTGCACTAACAGCTGGTTATAGGTAACCATTAAGTACTGTTTACACTACAGATCCTTCAAGCAATGGGGAAGAGGAGTTTGGACTGGGCAGTGGTGACCAGATGTAGACGCCAAATGTATTTTGTCAGGCAATAACTAAATGGGAATGGCTCTCAGGTATACGAACAGCTCTGGAGCATGAACAAGATAGCCAGAAGCCTTAGGACCTCCAGAAGGGGAGGTGTTGTCTTTTCTCTGCAGTAAAAAAAATACCTAAAGCCTGAAGGAAGCCAATTTACTTTTGCTCTCTAATTGTTGGAAACTGTTGCTTTTAACCAATAAGTTAGAGACTTTACAAGCTGTGAATCAGTCAGTCTGTGCCTCCTGCATGACAGTGGACATACCTAGAAGACAGAGGAGGGAGCAGCAAATCCTTTGCATTGCACGTGGAGAAGGAGCATCAAACTAACTTCCTAGGTTTTCTCTTCACCCGAAACATCAATATTTATTTTGTGTCTGTAAGTGAATATCTGCATACAAGTATTGGGGGAGTTTTATAACAGGGTTACAGCTTTAACCAGTAAGTTATTTGTTGACAGTTTATAGTTGTTTACCTAAAGTAACATCTATTTATTTGTAATAAATACCAATTCTTGTTAAGTGCAGAAACCTGGTCCGTGCTTTCTGTTAACCTGGGGCTAAAAAGATAGCTAATTGGGGAATTTTGCGTACTCTGATAAAATCTTAAACTTTGTGACACACCTGGGATTAGCAGGGCTTGATTTCCAGTGCACTATCCCAGTGAAGCATAACACTGATGACATATTCTGGTAAAAACTTGCTTTGCAAACAGCAAGCAAATGCTTTGTATG